GGTATCGAAACCCGGATTCTAGCATTGCAAGTCCGCAGACATACCGCTGTGCTACTGGGGGGCCAGTCCATACTGATGGTGAAAGTGAAATAGGAAAGATTAAGAATTATCACATTCTGGATGATGTTATGCCTCTTAGCCTATCTCATATTGCTTGACACATGGCAAAAGTAATTCGGTATTTAACTAACTTTTTGCCACCTTTCTTTTTTCTAGGACAAAGAGTTTAAAGTGAAAGTGAAAATGTAACCCAACTGGCAGAGTTGTGTAAAAACCAATTACACCAAATATTGTGCTCTAGGACACAGTTATGATTGCAAGTGTTACATTTACAAAATGTGCACATGGATTTTACATGTCTTTAAAGTGCTCATAATATGCTCTATGTTTCGAATGTTTTCTTTTTTGAATTGCTATAAAATGTTGTAAGTGTTTATTTGATATTTATTGAAAGTTTAAAACAAATTATTTGCTTCTATGTACACAAATTGCTCCTTGACTTAACATTGGTGTTATTACTCTAACATGTGTGAACAATAGATTTTTGTTCCAAGCAACCCTTATATCACTAATATGTCCCTCTTTGAAAATGCATATCCTCATTCTTTTTTATAGACAGTTCCTTTACCACAGAGGTGCCAAGTTTTGTTTTCCCAACTGAACAGTCATAAATTTGGTGAAAATTAGTGTCAGGTAATTATCACAAGTCACTGTACCATTCTGCATTCTACCACAGAAACATCAAATCTTCAAAAGTTGAATCATTTTTCACTTTCATGTCAACAAAACAGTTGCTGTTACCTGTTTTCATGTTTTCTGAAACATCCATTTTCTGACTGATCAACACAAACATACTTAATGTTAATGTTGTTTTTCAACCATTAACACTTTCATTATTTGCTTTCAGTAAGTATTTCTCATGTTTGACAGTAAAACAAATTAAATCCTCTAGGCTATAACTGATCAAATTTTCAAACTGTTCACTGTAACCATTTGCACATAAACAATGAAACTCCATGCAGTGAAATTTTAGAAATTTGTGATTTCATGAGATTGTGCAAGATCACAGAAAATAGATATTGTGAAACTAGCTTATTGGTTGTGCTTCCAATATCAAAAGACTTTGTGCACCTCATATCATTATCCGTCATAGGTAATGATGCTTCACAGCTACATGAAGCAGTACATGGTTGTTCAT